TGCCTCCTTATATAGTTGTGAAGTGCCATAGTTGCAATTACTATCTTCACTTGCTTATCGAATGGATAGCTAGGCATGTCTCGTAAAATACTCCACTTTTTCTTCCATACACCAAAAGTGCGTTCAATGACACTCCAAAGGGAAGAGTGTACATGATTAAATACTTCTCTAGAACCTATTGGTTGAGTACCCCTACGAAAATCTGGAAGATGATACCTCTCACCTTTATATGGTCCCAAATACTCGCTCATTTGTGGGTAACCCGCATCCACAAGATAATATTTTCCTGTAACCAATAAGATATGTTTAATTATAATATAATTTGAAAGTGCAAAAATTCGAAGTTTAATGATATGCACATATTTATTCTTGTATCATGTGCAGTGCCTTCCCAACCTGCACATGCAAATATGAATTGCATGTCAAAATTACATGCAACCATTATGTTTTGAGTCGGTATTCCTTTCCTACCAATATATTGGGACCCTTTCATCATCATTGAAGTTGTACTCCTATTCTCCATTACATCAACCATCCGCTCAATTTGTTGTGACAATTTAACAGCACCTCCCATCCTTCTTTCTTAAAGTGAGTACCAGGACGATTACCTGCATCCACCTCCTTGATACACAGGTTACAAAATATAGTTGTATTCTGATTATTCCATACAGCCGGAACTCGTGATCCACTAGCCACGTTATTATTCTTCACCATCTGTGCATGTCCTTATATAAATATGTATGTATTGGGAGATGAACATGTTATAGCAAATAATGTTTTTACTAAAAACATGCATAGTGCCTAAGTAATTACCTATAGGCAAACTTGGTCAAAACTACATACATCAAAAGCAATACACCAAGTCGTACAAGATGACAAGGATTCAAACACACTCCCATATATTTTATCCTTATTTTTTGGGTCTGCAGTTTTGATATTTATTCACAAAAGATTAATGGAAGCCAAAGAAATAAAGGGAATTAAAAGAAAAATGGAGCTTGTCGTAGGGTGATGATATCAAGTTTATTATCAAGTTAACTGCATGCCAAAAAGATAACAACCACAATGAGGAGATATGCATTGTGGACTCCACCTAGAATAAAACCACTAGCTATGAGCCCCAGGGACGGACCCACAGTGGGGTCAATGGGGTCAAACGACCCTATGGACTCCAAGCAAGTAAGGTAGAAGGTCCTTTTGAATTGGGGTGTGACCCCATGAAAGGCTGAAGAAGGAGTGACAGGTACTGCGGAAGAAGAAGATGAACAGAAATCTGTTTTTTTTTCTTCAAAAGAAGCTGGCCAAAACGGCGTCGTTTTGGTCCAGCTTCTAATTTTTTTTTAAAAACAGGCTGGCCAAAACGGTGTCGTTTTGGACCAGCGCTTTTTTTTTAAACCCGTTGCCAAAACGGCGTCGTTTTGGTAGCAAATTTTTTTTTTAAACTGTGCTGGCCAAAACGACGTCGTTTTGGACTAGCAGCACAACACCAAATTTTTTTTAAAGGACCTGGCCAAAACGACGTCGTTTTGGTCCAGGTTTAAAAAAAAAAAAAGAGAACAGATTGTATATACACAGACCCTCCATCTCTCCAGAGTTTTCAACTCCAAACCTAAATCCCCAATCTCCACCCCTCCCAAACCTTTAACCTTCTCCCCCACCAAGCCTTTAAGCCCCAACTCCTCTATTGCCGCCTTTTACACTATGACCCTACGACATAAAATTTCTGGGTCCGTCCCTGATGAGCCCTATCACGATAAACTCTCAAGAAAATAAAAATAGTAGATCAGATGGGTCTTCAATGGTGGCAAATAAAATTACCAGCTATGGGTCTTCAATGGTGTCCACACGAAAACTTCCTAGCATGGACACCTTCATGCTTAAAGAAACCATGGACAACCAGTACAAAAAATCTGGAAATATAAAACCAGTAGAAACCATGGACAACCAGTAGAAAAAATATGGACGTATATAAAACAATGGACGTATATAAAACCAGTAGAAACCATGGACAACCAATAGGAAAAAAAAACAAAACAAAACAAAAAAACAAGAGCAGCACGTATATAAAAAGTTTGAGAGATTGAAGAGATTGAAGAATCTAACCTTGTGAAAGAGATTGAGAGAGATTGAGCAAATGGTTGTCTCCAAACTTGGGAGGCTACGTGAAGAAACTTGGGAGGCTATGTGAAGATGAACTTTGGTGTTTGTAGATTTGAGAGAAATACGCGAGGATAGATTTCTAACCTAATAAGGGTATTTGTGTTATTGCGAAAATTTCATGAAAGGGAGCGCACTGCTTCAATTAAAAGCAGCTTTAAAAAGCAACCCCGATGTTGCTTTTAAAAGCTCCTATCAAAAGACCGTTGCTTTTAAAATAAGCAAGATATTTTATTTTTACCAAACTGCTTAACTTTAAAGTTAAGCAGGTTTTTGGTGAAAAAAAGCAATCCCAAACGGGGCTTAAGCTTTGATGATCTATTTATCTTTTGTTACTATTTCAATTATGGATTTCATTTTTGTTTAACAATGTACTATGACATAGTATTAACAATGTACTTCTATAACATAGTAATACTAACAATCTGGTATCGGCTTGTTTTTAATACTTTGCGACTTTTTTTGTATTAGAAATAGCAACATGACAGTAAACTAGCAGTGTTATTACTCTAGACTGGAACATTACAAGGGTAGACAAGCATTAGAAATAGGATGTCACTGGAAACTAGTAGTGTTATTACCCTAGATTAGACATGTATTAGAAATAGGATGTCATAGGAAACTAATAATGTTAGTACCTTAGACTGGAACATTACATGGGTAGACATGCATTAGAAATAGGAAGTCATTGGTGTAGGGGCTTTTTTTCTTCCGGCAGCTACAAGGATGCCCTGTGCTTGAGTTCGAAGATCAAGCCCCAAGGATGCTTCAAAAGGATAGTAGGGCCTTAGGAAATATCTTGGTTACCTTCACCAACAAAAATAACACCAGCTTACAGATAATTTCTTAGTGCTTACAGGTAAAATCTTAGTTTGGCATGAGAGGCTTGTGGCATGGGAGCAAAGTTGCCATGAGTTTAGCACTAAAGAGAAAATTATGTGTTCTTGGGAGGAAGAAAGGGTGTCCACGTAAGAGAGGAAAGGTTTGCAAGAGGATTTGGCTAAGAAGGAAGGGAGAGAAAGGAAATGGTAGCTTAAGTGTTTCTTTAAGCAGCTTGATAGTGACTTTGTCAAATGTTAGAGCAATCTGCCAGAAAAGGGAAAATGGGGAAGAAGGGTAAATAGTGCACGAAATTGCTGGGTTTTGCACGTAAGAGAGGAAGCTTGCTCTCTAGTTGTGGATGATTTTTGTTGGGTAGAAGAGGCCCTATTTATAGCAGCTGGAAGCCATTCTTTTTCCGAGAAACCCTAATGGCTTCTATCCCATTTTTCCAAGTCTTTCCCTTCCTTTCTCCCCTTATCCTTTCAATCATCCTATTTTGGTAAAATCTACTCTGCTCCTTTGCACAAAATCAGGGATTTTGGGGGCTCCAGGTCCCTGCTGTAGTGAAGAATTCCTATTTTTAGATA